CAACGAGAACCGTCACAGGCTGGAGAATTTGCATGGATTATCGAAAGTTGAATCTAGCCACCCGGAAAGACCACTTCCCACTTCCCTTCATTGATCAAATGCTGGATAGATTAGCAGGGAGGTCACACTTTTGTTTTCTGGACGGGTACTCAAGGTACAATTAGATTTCCATTGCACCTGAGGATCGAGAGAAGACATCCTTCACATGCCCTTATGGCATCTATGCCTTTAGGAGGATGCCCTTTGGCCTATGCAATGCACCCGCCATATTCCAATGGTGCATGATGGCCATATTCACTGACATGGTTGAGGATATAATGGAGGTATTCATGGATGACTTCTCAGTGGTGGGGAATTCATTTGATGAGTGCCTGGTGAATCTGACGTGTGTGCTGAAAAGGTGCATCGAGACTAATCTGGTGCTGAATTGGGAAAAGTGCCATTTCATGGTACAAGAAGGCATAGTCTTGGGGCACCGGGTGTCAAGAAAGGGAATAGAGGTAGATCAAGCAAAGGTTGATGTAATAGCAAAGCTGCCTCCACCAACTTCGGTCAAAGCAATCAGGAGTTTCCTTGGACATGCCGGTTTCTACCGGCGGTTCATAAAAGACTTCTCCAAAATCGCCAATCCTCTTTGTAAGTTATTAGAGAAAGATCACCCATTTGTATTTTCTGATGATTGCAGGGTATCGTTTGAGGAGCTGAAGCAGAGGCTGGTCACAACACCCATCATTGTTGCCCCCAACTGGGAGCAACCGTTTGAACTAATGTGTGACGCTAGTGACTACGCAGTGGGGGCAGTGCTGGGCCAGTGAAAAGATAAATTGATGCACCCAATCTACTATGCTAGTAGAACGCTGAGTGGAGCCCAGTTGAACTATACGGTGACTGAAAATGAGATGCTAGCTGTGGTGTTCGCATTCGACAAGTTCCGGTCCTACCTGATAGGATCAAAGGTAATTGTATACACTGACCATGCTGCTCTCAGATACTTAATAGAAAAGAAAGACTCTAA